TCTCTGTCATGTGGCTGCCGAGCGTTCGGGTTCGTCCAGCGAGCGCGGCGTGTTTGAATGTCCTTGTAGGTGAAGCTTGCCAGTCTGGCTGTGTTCATTTTCTTCGCGAGAAGACATGAACAGAGGAGCCTTCGAAAAAGATAAAATAAACTTGAAGAAAACAAAAAGAGAAACGATGGATCATCACACTAAGGCGATGTCCAGACGCACGAGGAGTCACATGATGAAGCCACGAAGAGCAGGAAGAGCCAGGGAGTTTAGGCAGAGAGTTTTCAGGAAGCTTTCAGAAGCGTTTCAGAAGGGTTTAGGGAAGCTCGGCGCGTCTCTTTAAGGACACTTAGGTTCACGCCCCTTCTGGCATGAAGGCACCAATCAGCTGGGAGAAAAGTGCCCGCGGAAGATTCCTCTTTGTCTTGTCAGGATCATTTATGATGGTATAACATTTTGTCATTCCTAACCAGAAAGATTGTACAAACCGGACAATAGATTTTACAGTAATTTCCTATGTATGACTGGTTCAGTCAAGACAAGACGGTCAAACAGCTACCAGACATGGCAGGTAAAAGTAGAAGAACATAGAGTTACATTCATATGCAGAATTACAAGCATTTTAAAGTTGGTTAACACACAATAAAATTGTCAGTACTTCCAGTATGGCATGTGACGACATCTAAGCACAAAATGAATACATTTAAAACATTTAGAGGTACTTTTCTCTGAAAAGTTCCATGCCTGGTGTTTGTGTGTTAATGTGTTGGAACATTCTTTTGATGAACTCTTAGACTTCAGAGCTATACACTAGCAAACCACACTTCTATTATAAAGCAAAGCTAATAAGATATGCATGCGTACAGGAAGGTTGGATACAATTTCTGTGTTATATACATTTATATACACATTATAGGACATTTGTGTGTGTGTGTGCATTAATGTGTGATTGTCCTTAAGCGTTCAGGCAGCTTTGTGGACTCTTTCTGTGGGGGGGGGGGATGCGTGTCCCGTGAGACGGCGAGGTTTGAATGGTTGACCATTTGTTGAAGACAAACGCTGGCTTGTTCCAAATGTGTCATGTGCTAGCCATAGTGGCACCAATCTGGTCAACATGCCCAAAGGGGGTCGTATACAGAATGCCCCTTTGTTTACTCACGAAGAACTGACCTTTGTTTGCAAATCGGGATTCGCTAATTTAGATACATCTGCCCGAATACCCTGTCAGAGTCGTTACAATTCTTTTAAATAGACTCAAAAATTATGTTGGCATTAGTGGAATTGCATTGGCATGGTTTAAATCTGACCATTATCAGTTTGTAGCAGTAACTGAAGAGATGTCTTATCGATCACAAGTTTAGTATGAAGTACCACAATGCTCAGTACTAGGACCATTGCTGTTCACTCTGTACATGCTACCCTTGGGAGATATCATTAGGAAGCATGGCACTAGTTTTCAATGTTATGCTGATGATACTCAGCTCTATATTTCTTCACGCCCTGACGAAACATACCAATTCACAAAATTAACGGAATGCATAACTGATATAAAAAACTAGATGACTAGTAATTTCCTATTACTTAACTCTGAAAAAAACAGAAATTCTAATTATTGGACAAAAAAATTCCTCACATAATATCCTAGAATGCTGTCTAACACTTGATGGCTGCTCTGTCAAACCTTTGTCGTCGGTTAGGAACCCGGGTGTGCCCTTTGATACCATTCTTTCATTTGAAAGTCACGTTTCTATTATCTGTAAAACAGCATTCTTCCATCTTACAAATATATCTAAATTACGTCATATGCTCTCAATGACAAATGCGGAACAATTAGTTAATGCGTTCATGACATCAAGGGTAGATTATTGTAATGCTCTTATGGGTGGTTGCCCTGCACGCTTAATAAATAAACTACAACTGGTCCAAAACGCAGCAGCTAGAGTTCTTATAGAACCAGGAAGTATGACCATATTAGCCCAGTTCTATCAACACTGCATTGGCTCCCTATTAAACATCGTATTTTACATTTTAAAATATTGCTGACTACTTACAAAGCACTAAATGGTTTAGCTCCCCATTACTTGAGCGAGCTCTTAACACATTATAGTCCTTCACGTCTACAAAATCGACTGCTAGCGGTAGATCCTTTTCCTATTTAGCACCAAAACTTTGGAACAGTCTTCCTAACATTGTCCGGGAAGCAGACACAGTCTGTCAGTTCAAAGCTAGACTAAAAACACATCTTTAAATAATTATGCGAATAAGCGGGCCGGAGTTAAAGGTTTTCTGTTAGAATGATGTCGTGTAAGCGGCCCCTAAGTTAATAACTAATGATCTTTGCAATGGAAGTGAATCGATCCTAACTGACTTTAGCTGGACAAAAACTTTATTCTAGAGCTGCTGTAAAGCCAGAACAATCTCTGTTACTTTCATTTCCTATAGGGGTGCTCCGATCAGGATTTTTGGGGCCGATTGCCGATTACTGGAAGCTGTATCACCCGATACCGATACCGATCACCGATTACAGGGTCTATTTGAAGACTTCTTTTTATCATTTAGCATTACTTATTAAACGCTGTTTAACAACAATGTACATTAAGTATTACATTTAAGAGAAGACAATGCATAATGAATTGACACCTGTATTTATTTGCAAGCAACATGTATTAACATAGCAGCTTGGTTATTGGGAGCAGCTTAGGGCTTGACATACAACTTTCCTGTAGAATATAAAATAAAATTAATAAAAGAAACAACATCTGAGTCTTTCAATTTAGCTTTAGACTACTTTAAACTAAAAACAGCAACAAAAAAGGCTATAGCCAAAATAATGTTTTGAGACAGTCAGCCATCATTTTTTCTAATACACTTAAAGGACCACAGGTAGTAAAGTGCACAGCAACAAAAAAACAAAACAAAACAAAAACTAACAACTTCCATATCTGTATCTATAACTTTGCTTTTTTCTGGGATGCTTAGTCAGATTTTGTTGGCATTTAGAGAGGAAGAGAGAGGTAGAGAAACCTTTTGTGTGTGTGTGTGTGTGTGTGTGTGTGTGTGTGTGTGTGAAGAACCCTTGCAAAATTATTTTTAACAGATTAAGAAAGCCACCACTATTGGTCACATCTATGGTTAGATTGATTTTTTTTTAGATCCAGTGAAGTCTGTCCCACCATGTACCTAATATAAATAAATAAAACATATTCAGTTAACTAGCAGATCATTCATTTAGTTCGCTATTAAATAAGAAATCTAGCGCCAAAATATGTTTTTGAACTCAAGCTGCGCGCTCGTAGCCGCGGCGATCAGTTGCATGGATACAGTGCTCTGTGCCTCGCGCAGTCTTCACTCGGACGCGCGCTTCAATCTATCGCCGTTGCGGACTCTATTCATTCCGGTGTAATCACAATAAAAGCACAAACGTATCCTTGCTTGATATAACTGTAACCGCTGATGAACATATTCAGTTTTGATGAGAGAAAAAAATATGTACTCGTGAGTGATTTGACGGACGCACATTTTTGTCATTGGTTGTTGCGTTAAATCTTACCCATATACAATAGTTCTATTTTCTGATTGGCTATTGTGTAGCTCGATGAACAACACTAGAGGAAACGCGCTTGATTCATGCCTGTTCCACAGTGAGAGTGGCAAGGCCAGAGTTTTGGCCGCTGCGGCATATTAAATATATTACAAATAGTTTTTCAGCGTGAGAAATACAATGTGTGGCGGGAGAGCGTGACAAAAGACCGAAATGAGTGACTGTCACGCTCAATGCTTGACACTTGAGAGCCCTGTTGTAGAATTGCCAGACCGGTGAAGCCATTTTTACCAGGGCGTAAAAAAATTGTCTCGCGAGTTTTGCGTCATCTGATCGGCTTTTCTGGATCGGCCTTTATAGAGACCGCCGATCACACATCCCAAAGCAATTATCGGCCGATTATGATCGGCGACCGATCAGTCGGAGCACCCTTAATTTCCCATGATCACTGTAAAGCTGCTTTGAAACAGTCCATATTGTTAAAAGTGCTATATAAATGAAGGTGACTTGACTTGCACTTGCAGAGATGGAGCAGCATTTACTACAAACCTGATCGCAGTGCTGCGATTCACCATGAAACACACTGCACATGTATGTTTATTTAATGAAAAATTGCAGCCTTTGCGATTTCATAATCGCAGCAAACCAAATCAAAGTTTCGGTTTGATTTCGGTTAATCATGCAGCCTTCACACACAAACAAGCATTCAACAAACTCTCACTTCACACAAACAACAGTCTCAGTCTCTGTCTCACACATTCAAAACTGTATCGCACACGTGCTACTGTAGAAAATGTATTCATCGCACAGATATTTTGCATTAATATATAACAGTTTAAAAGAACTGTGAAACAATTTTTTATATTTTTTTTATTGAAACACGTCTCCTTCACATGAACCACAAACAGTAACACTCATAAACTTTCTTCCTCCAGCAACTGCAGGGTTTTTTCAAGTACTAACAGAAGGCTTCACAACACCCACCCTTGCCATCTCCTTTTTGTTGTCATAATAACATCATATAAACATCAGTTACTAAGCAATAGATTGGAGAAGTATATATATTTTCAAATGTAGTATGTAAATAGATATCATCCACTAATTAATGAAACGTATAACTTTTGTGCTATAAAATTATCACTTAATGCAGATCTTAATATTAATCTACAGGGTTAGGGCTAGGTTTAGGGTTAACCTAACCATTTTCTCTTATGATTTCTTGTATAACATCAGTGTGATGAATTAACTGGCACAACTTCTACTCTAATCATAAGATTCTTGTCTTATTTAAAAAAAAACTTTGCTTTTTTGTAAATGTATGTCTGTTTAGCCCACAAGTTCTCATTTGTTTATTAACCAATAATCATATAATTTTTTTCCATTAATAATAATGAAACCCATAGATAGACTGATTGAGGAGAAATTAATATCAGTATATCTTATTCATTATAATGGTCAAGTCAAAAAGATATTATGCTGGCTGGAATATTTTAAGAGTTAAGATGTGTTTAACTGACATTCTAAACCAGGGGTAAAAGAAAGCATAGATAAGAGGATTCAGACCTGAGTTAATATACAGTATCCACAATAGAATATAGGCCGTGGTAGAAGCCATTTCTGTGTTTTCGGTTAGGGACAAAATAAAGAAAGGAATCCAGCAAAATAGATAAAATGTGACAATGATTCCTAATGTCAGAGCAGCTTTACTCTCAGATTTCCTCCTCACTGAACCTTCCATTACACATTTTCCACCCTTCATCAAAGAGTTTATAACTTTCACTTGCTGATGTGCAACATAAAATATCCTCAAATATAAAGTTATGATCAGGGTACAAGGGAACAAAAAAGACAAGAACAGATCAGTGACTGACCAGTCAAAAGTTATCATAATTGTACATTCTCCATAACATGCATACTTTTTGTGTGAGACACTCCTAACTATTGCAATGTTATATGCTGAAGAGCAAACCCAGAAAAGACAGACAATAAATAAAGTTTTAGTTGTGGTTATTTTCTGTGGGTACATTAAAGGGTGACACACAGCCACATAACGATCAACAGCAATTAATACTAAATTACTGAGAGATGCTGAGAAGAGCAGTCCCATGATTATTAAAAACAGTCTACATAAAGTGTCTCCAAAGTACCAGCATGTTTCAATCAGCCTAGTGCCCTCTATGGGCATCACAATTAGTCCAATAAGCAGGTCGGCCACAGCCAGAGAGAGAATAATCAGGTTTGTTGGAGTGTGAAGCTGCTTAAAGTGCGAGATGGAGATGATCACCAGCAGGTTCAGAAACACAGTCCATGCTGACAGCAATGAAAAAAACATATACATGATATTGTATTCATGATTGGAGCGTTTCCCCTTGATACACGATGAATTGATGGCAGGAAAGCAGTATTGAGTCTCATGATCCTCTGTCTCATAGGCCATGAGTGATTCTCCTCCTGATAGGAGTTTGTTCTGCTCTCCTTTCTGTCCTTTCATTTATACAGTGTCTGGATTGACCAATCCATCTACCGCCCACTCTGATGATGCTTATAGCCCTCATTTTACATCTACATGTTTTTATAAATGTATGTGTACACACACACACACACACACACACACACACACACACACACACACACACACACACACACACACACACACACACACACACACACAGTATATATATATACTGTATATATATATATATATACTGTATGTTAGTTAATTTCTTTCCTTTGATCTAAATTAGAAACTTAAAATGAACTAAATTAGAATTTTCTACAAGAGGCCACAGTGGGGCGGCAGTGGCTCAGTGGTTCATGTAGGTTGTCTGCAAACTGGAAGATTGGTGGTTCAATCCCCGGTTCCACCTGACCAAGTGTCGAGGTGTCCATGAGCAAGACACCTAATCCCAGCTGCTCCCAACGAGCTGGATGGCGCCTTGCATGGCATGAATGAGTGAGTGAATGCGCTTTGGTGGCCATTGGGTCTGTGAAAGCGACAGGACAAACGGTCAGTCTGTGGAGTCGACAAGAGCGCGCAAGTAGAGTTTTTCTTAATATCCAGTTCTCCTGTTGTTTTAGCTTAGTGTCTATCACAAGGTAGGGCTATTTTCGATTCTATGATTATTTTAAATTTTTACCTTCTCACAAATCTGTATTTTAATTAGACGCGTTGCTACTTTTATAACAGTAAATTGAATAGTTTGTGCGTCTGAATAGTATTGCATTCTAAATTGCATAGCACTTAAGTGAGCCACTGGCCAACGGCTAGTTTCGATTTCTCCCATTTTCGGATTATTTGAGGGTGCTGTGTTAACTGCTGGGCAGAGACAGCCACAGTAAACAGATATAAAGTCGAAGAGATTCAGGACAAGGCCAGGACAAACGGTCAGTCTGTGGAGTCGTCAAGAGCGCGCAAGTAGATTTTTTCTTAATATCCAGTTCTCCTGTTGTTTTAGCTTAGTGTCTATCACAAGGTAGGGCTATTTTCGATTCTATGGTTATTTAAAATTTTTACCTTCTCACAAATCTGTATTTTAATTAGACGCGTTGCTACTTTTATAACAGTAAATTGAATAGTTTGCACGTCTGAATAGTATTGCAGTCTAAATTGCATAGCACTTAAGTGAGTCACTGGCCAACGGCTAGTTTCGATTTCTCCCATTTTCGGATTATTTGAGGGTGCTGTGTTAACTGCTGGGCAGAGACAGCCACTGTAAACAGATATAAACTCGAAGAGATCCAGGACAAGGCCAGGACAAACGGTCAGTCTGTGGAGTCGACAAGAGTGATGCGCGCTGTCGCAACGTTTCTGCCTTCTCGTGTGAAGACCGACTCGGGTAAAGACCATCGACTCTACCTGTGCGACTCCACCGAGCAAAGACATCAGCTAAGCACTTAAGTATCTACATCTCCCTTTCCTTTCCTACTCTTATCCTATTTACCTTAAACGACATGTGCTTTCAATACATTCCTGTTGTCTCTCGACAACGCTCACTCATCACGTACAGAAGGCAGCGCAATACTGCTAATCTGCGTCCTATTCTCTTATCCTCACACTCACCTCTCACTCTTTCTATGGGTCTATGGAACTGCCAATCAGCAGTCAATAAAGCTGAATTCATTCCAGCCTTTGCTTCTCATTCTGCTCTTAACCCTCTGAGACCTAAGGGTATTTTTACAATACATTTTTCGTCTGGTGTTATTCACTAAAAAAGCTTGTAAAACATCAACACTTTTGTGCACAGACAATTGACACACATCTTTTTTTTCAGGACAAATTGAACTTTCAGCTTATTTGTGTTTCATTGATGTCACCTGAATGTAAAATAAGTTATGGGACCACAAAGACAAATGAAAAAATAAATCGGAAATTGAATCACTCAAATATTTATTGAAATCACACACAAATAAATAAAAGCTAAGCAATTTTCCTCTGGAAAACAGTTTGTTCAAGTCTTTGGAGTCCTGGAGCACAGGAATGAACATTATAACTTGAACAGAACAAAAAATATTTACATTTTTCCAAAGGAAGTCCAGGCGTTTTGGGCCTCATGAAAATCACTGATGCCAAGCCTCAAAACAGTTCCTATCAGGAATCACACAGAGGGCCACATCACAGGCTTTGCATTTCCAGGGGGTGGCCTGTTTCACCTGCCTTGTCTGTTTGCAGTTCACACAATCTTCTACCATAGGTGGCAGCTGCTGGGATGCTGCAGCAGAAGTGGAAGGGCCCTCCTCAGTGGAAGAATGGGAGCTTTCCTGTCTGGCTTGGGTGGGTGGGCTGGTGTCTTCATCATTATCACAACTGTAAAACAAATAAATAAAGCAAAATATTAGATCATACAAATTAGATCAATTACTGTTTTTGTATTTGATTTTTCACATAAGATTACAATGGCTGAGATTGCTACTGTACCCCCAACCCACCACAGCTATAATATGACCATTCGCTTTCCAGCCAAAAGGTGTGACCAACCCCCCACTATTCTCTCCACAGGTAAAAGGTGTGACCAACCCCCCACTACAACATCCTTTGTTTGTATCTCCAGGTAAACTCAGACAAACAATGGCTGAGAGACAAAGTGTAATCCACAACTCTGTAACAAACATAAACAAATGAAATACTACTTTTACAGAACTTATTTTTACATATTTAGAAAATTTATATTTTATCATATTAGTTTTTTCTTCTTTTTTTATACTTTTTACAGTAAATAAACTCAGACATACAATGGTTGAGAGACAAAGAGTGTAATCTACAACTCTTACTACTCTGTAACAAACACAGAAAAACGAAATACTACTTTTACATAACTTATTTTTCCATATTTAGAAAATGTATATTTTATCATATTAGTTTTTGTTTATTTTTATACTTTTACAGTAAATAAATAAATGTAACTTACTCTTCAGCAGGGTCTAGACGATTCTGGTAATCAAGTTCCTCATCAGTCAAAAAGCTCTCTTCTCCAGAAAATCCATCATCCTCCATGGCATCAAAAAAGGCCAGTGCTTGATTTACATCCATGTTTCTCAATCTCTGAGGATCCATTATTCTCCGTGTTTCTCTGTGTATTATTCAAAACTCGCGTCTCTCTGTGCGTCTCTCTCTCTCTCTCCTCGAAACCACTGTGCCGTGCGTCTCTCTCTTTCCAAAATATCACCCTTGGTTCATGCGTAATGACGCACACCAACGTGGACGACGGATCAGCCTGTCATTGGTCAACAACCTCACGCAAAGCATCGCGAGATGTCCAAAATGGCAGCTTGCATCAAGCTAGCAGCAAATATGACGGAAAATTTATAAATTATGGACTTCAGAGATCAAAACTGGGAAATACACATATGGATTTATTACTGAAACACTCTGAAAGGACGCACAAGTTCCAGGCTGGATAGAAAACCTTCTGAAAAGGCTAGAAAGACACCAAATACACCCCCGTGACGGCTAGCGTGTTAGCTTTCTGCTGCAAAAAACGGTAAGGAAATCGATCAATTTTTCATCAAATAATATCAATATTTATCGGAGGAGTCGTGTGGCGTCGTCGACAATGCCGTCGGTTTCAGAGGGTTAATATCTTAGGCTTAACTGAGACCTGGATCCGTCCAGAAGACTCAGCAACCCCTGCTGCTCTCTCTAACAACTTCTCTCACACCCCTCGCCAGTCGGGGAGGGGTGGGGGCACTGGTCTTCTCATTTCTAACAATTGAAAATACTCAACTCTCTCCTCTCTATGCAATAACAACTCATTTGAATATCATGCTATTACACTTACAATTCCCATTAAGATCCAGATTGTAGTCATTTATCGCCCCCCAGGTCAACTGGGAAGCTTTGTAGAGGAGAAAGAGAGACACTCGTAATGAATTTGTAATGTACTTGTAACACAAAATAAGTACACTTTAATATCACTAATCAAGCATGTAATTAGTACATACACATGCATATACTTAAAGTATAGCCTATACTTAAGTTGGTCCAATTTAGTACACAAAAGTACACTAAATAAAGTTATGCTTCACTACAATTTAATTACAACTAAAATATACTTAGTACAAAATTAGTTGTTTCAAAATAGCACACTTCAAGTTAACTAATCATTAACACACTTGAAGTATAATTAGTCTGGCTGCAAGTATACTTAGCATTTTTTTTCCCACCAGGGTATAGTCACTGAATGCTATTAATATTTTTATAGTAGGTGGGTTTAATTTATTATAAACAAACCTCGCATTTCATTGGATGTCCCTTTTTCTGTACATACATTTAGTCAAGTCAGTTAAGGAAGACAGTAAGTCAAACTGACAGCTGGAACAGGACCAGGCTACAATTGAGGATGTACTCAACTGTGAAAATGTTTGACTCAAGGATTATGGAGGACAACAGGCAAAGAATACTGTATTGCTATGCAGACAACAATTTGTCATGTTTCAAAGATATCAAACCTAAAGTGGAGTACGTTATTTTGTATATTTTCATTTCTTTAGCATCAGTGTTCACTGTGTTTCTGAACCTGCTGGTGATCATCTCCATCTCTCACTTCAAGCAGCTTCACACTCCAACCAACCTGCTCATTCTCTCTCTGGCTGTGGCCGACCTGATTGTGGGACTGATTGTAATACCTTTAATGGGCATCAGATTTATAGAATCATGCTGGTACTTTGGAGAGACATTTTGTTCTCTATTTTTATTTATTGTTTTTGTGGTCGTTTCAGCATCTCTTGGTAATTTAGTCTTTATATCTGTAGATCGTTACATTGCTGTGAGTGACCCTTTGAGATACACAGTAAGGGTCACAACTGATAAAGTTGTTTGTTGCATTATTATAAACTGGCTATGTTCAAGCATATATTCTGTCATTATCTTATATAACACTATGCTTTACCCAGACACACATAACAGATGTTACGGAGACTGTTCAGTTTCTTTTAAACTAGAACATGTTGTCACAGACCTCATAGTCACTTTTGTTGCCCCTTCTTCTGTAATCA